TGGCTACCCTGGTTGACTCTCTGTTTGTTTTCACCACACATTTTTGGAGATTTTTTTTTTACTCTCCTATTGAATACCAGTGTTGCCAGGTCCCCGGCATGAGAAAACGTCCCTCTTGGTCTGAAAAAACGTCATTTTCTATCCCAAAATGTCTTTTCAATGTATGCACACAGAATTGTTCTTATTAAACTTTTATTGTATACAAACCTTACCAGCAATTGGAAGAGAATTTTATGGCCTATCGCCCGGATGTCACTGTTGGAAGTTATAAAAGCGATAGTAACTCATTTCACAAAGACAAAAAACATTTCTGTCGTTTTTCTATCTTCTTAAGAGGTGCTCGGACTCTTTGAAGTTTTAAAAATTAACAAGGCAAATATTGAAAGTTCAATCAAGTAAAATTATATTTTTGTATTCAAAATTTTTTTATAATATCGAATAGCAAATAATAAAATTACGTTTAAATTTTAAACAGTGCGTTATTCGATTTATTATATTAATGCCTTTTTACCATACATTTTTGGAACTGATTTTTAAAATGTTTAGTTGAAATTTCATAAAATATAAGTGCGTTTGAGCTAGCAATCTAACCCGAAAGCAGGATGAAAAATGCGTAAGCAACTCTGCGGCTGTGGTTGCAAGCTCAGAGGTACCCAAAAAATCATATTAACCCTGGGATTCAGTAATTCAGTCTCATCTCAAGTCACTAAATTTGAGATTAGCAATTAGTGACTAGTTTTGTGACTTGCGATGATTTGGGTATTCATAAGGAGAGAGTCACAAAAAGTTCACCAAAAATGTGTGGTTAAAGCAAACACAGACAATCAACTGAGTCCGGGTTCAAGTCCTCCTCGGCCGTAGAGGATTTTTTATTTTATTTTTAGTTTTAGTTTTTTTTAGTTGTGAGCAAAATTTTGTGAGATTTCATGTGAGGTCTATTTTGTGAGGTTATTCTTGCCCACACCTTATAAGAAAAAAGCTCAACCAAATCACCACACGAGGTGAAAAGCATTTTGCTGTCTAACAGCTGTTTCGTAAATAAAATAAATACAAAAGATGGATGCTGAACAACAGGAAAAGTAAATATTTTTGTAATTTATTTATTTTTTTGATAATTACTGACATTATTTATTTCCTAGGCGAATTCAAAAAGGAATAAAGCAGGAGTAGCTCCAGTCCTTCACACAGTTTGCAATCCACAACTTAGTGCAAAAGTTTGTATGGAAATTAAATCTTATGCCTGCTCTAACTCTTCCGAAACTGCCGAAAAAAACAAGCAATAACTATGCCATTACTGAATATACTTTTAGTTAAAAAAAAATAACACAGACACTGATAGCGAACGAAAATTAACAAAACATTTGCTCATTAAAAATCGGCTGTTTTTCCTCTTGTGAAGGTCCCATTCGTACATCATAAATTTTCTCACAATCATGAGCGTATGAGCTTTCGAATTTACGCCAGCATAGGGATAACCTCACAATAGTCAGAAACCTCACAATAGTGAGTGGTGATTTTTGTGAGGGCAACAGAATAGTGCTATTCGTCTCTTGGATCGCAGCTATTCCATGTCTTCCCATGAAGACAGTTATCTCCTCGATCTTGCTCTGGAGTCCGTTACAGTTAAATTGTAGCACCTTTGTGTGCCTTGGGAGACCAATAGGGATGTGTGGAGCTAAGGAGTTGTGTTGCCTGCCGGCTCCCTGCTGTGTGTGCTGCAAAAGGGGGTGCTGCCTTGTGGTGGTGGTTGGCGGTGTCGCGGGGGAGGTATGCGACTGGGCAGCACAGCAGGGGTCCACATAGTAACTCGTCCAATCTAAAGTGGCACCAGCCAAGGCAGGAGTTGCACTTGACTGATGTCACGTTACGGTATATTCTGGACTGACAAACCGAGCAGATTGTCGGAGGGACTAGGAGTTGCCGGCGGCGGTGTGTGGGTGCTATTGTGTTTGTCTGTGTGTCTATTGTTGTGTTGTGTCGTGTCATTCCCACGACAGCCGGTTCTACGTAACGGAATGACTCGGGTTTTACCCGACCAAGGGCTGTTGTTTCGGCGATCTAGCCCCGTTTAGGTCGTAGAGTAGAAACATTTTTTATTTTGACGGAAAAAACAAATTTGGCCTGAAAAGCTTGAACCTTCTCTTTTGGCCCCATTTTACAAATGAAAAAGTATGCTGCCAAATGCCCAGTTAACAAAACTCAATTTCGCTTGCGAGATAAAAAAGCAGAACGTAAGCGAGATTTGCAAGCATGCAAAGATGGCGTATGTCCTTAAGCCTTGCGCACATGGTGAAAGAAATACAGAAGGTGGCGCTGATTGTGATACCGCTAACGCTCTCTTGAAAATTTTGATAGAAATATGTCGTCATTTGAGATTTTGTGTATTGCCTGTGTAATATACATATACATTTGGGGCCGGTTAATCAATGTCTGATTAACACTAATCTGCGGTTTAACATCTTTATCGACGTGTTCGACTCCATGCATACAACAGGTAACGTCGATAACTATGTTTAACCGCAGATTAGAGCGAATTTCACATCAATCATCTTGTATTATCAGCATTGCCAGGTTGAAGTTTTTAACGTCATTTGGACGTTTTTTGTATTCTGTTGACGTTTTTGTGTAAAAAATTACGTTTTTTAACTTCTCAGTAATTTTTCTTTGTTACTAACGGCCGGTTGCTCAAAGCCTGGTTGCCACTAATCCCCGGTTAAACATCGTTATCGACGTTACCGACACCATGTTATATACATGGATACGAAAACGTCGATGTCAACCGATGATTAGTGTCAACCAGGTTTTGAGCAACCGGCCCTAAATCTTGTAAGTAGAACTGATTTTGAATTATTTTCTTAATAAATCTTTACAATCGACGTTTTTGACACCATGCTTATAACACGTGATCGATAAAGCAGTCGTTGTATTTAACCGGAGCTTCTACCTCTGATTTGTGCAAATCAGACATTGAACAACCGGCCCTAAATATAAAAAGTCCGTGCACTGGTTGCTATGTTGACTGATGAAAACGTGCGGATATATGGTCAAACAGGGAAATTTGAGCAAAATTGTCGATTTTGATCGACAGTGAGTACAACGCTTGAGAAATACAAAAAAGTCACTAGGGACGTGAGTGGCAAAAATACATCGATGTTTTTCTTTGATTCGATTCATCGAAATGTACATTGATATTTTTCGATGCATCGAAGGGCATACATCGATGCATCGATTTGCATAGGATTTTTCAGATAATGTTTCACAACAAAATATATTATTAGCAAAATTGTAGAAAATCTGAAATAAATCACTGCAACTGAGCTAATTATGTTTCTAATGGAACTTCTTGCAGCCATTTAAATTTTGGCTAAAGTCGCTTCTTTTTTTTTGATCAATTGAAAACCTGGAATGATGGATCAATGTACCGTAGATGTCAGTTTTCAAAAAACATCGATACATCGATGCATCGATACATCGACTATTTATACATTGAGTGGAAAATTTTCGATGCATCGATGTTTTTCCGACATTCTTAAAAGTCACGTGTGAAGCAAAATGGAAGTTAATAAGTTTAATCATTCGGTGAAAGTGCCTACACAATACAAAAGAACTGCAGCAGTTTTAAAATCTGCGTTGGATCGTAAAAAATCACTGAAGTCACTAATTTTTGAAGAGAAACATGTGGTAAATTGAAAAATGTGCATCTAATGTTTTTTTAGTGATACAAATTAATTTCTTTTGATAGCGCATGCGAGGCATGCAAGCGGTGTTAAAGCAATATATTGACAACCGAGTGGCCATTGACAACGCCATTGAACAGACAAGGCTTTTAGAAGACAACCCACGTTTATGTCCTTTCCTCTGCAAGATTCTCGTAACAGAACTAATTTTCGGACGGAAAACGTTAAACGGTGAAAGTAAACCCGTACATACTGTTCGCAATTATCGGGAAAAACTTTTTGAAATATTGGGTGCTTCTGTTAATGAATCAAGGGAAACTAAAGGCAAGGCTGTAAAGAATTCTACAGAAGGGATAAATAACACAGAATGAATAAAAGCAAACTGAATGTGACTAAAGTTTTATCGGTAGACACTGAGCGAAAGTTGCAAAACGAAGACAAAAGACGTGCTTCTCCTGAGGTGGTGGATGGTCACACTAAAGCAGTTGGCTTGCCATTGCTGAAAGACAGTAGCACAATAACATTTTTGTGGTTGATGGTCTTCAGTATTTTGATGTTTACGTTTCCTTTCGTAGCATTCTATGGTGTCCGCTCATGGCTGCGTGAATCATTTGAAATCTCCGATTTTTATATAAATTGCTGGGCTGTGCTCTCTTCAGTACTTGTTGTAAATGCTATTATTTGTTTATACGTTTTCAAAGCAATACTTGAGGAGAACACAAGCGATTCAATTCCGGAAAGTGAAATTAAGAAGCGGGATTAACTGCATTACTATTAGCATGCATAGTGCATTCAATTTGTTTCATTTCAACATATTGACGAATAAAAATGACTTGAAAAGATATTATATTAATATGTATTATTTTTGGCCTAAATTCCTTAGTTTTGAAGCCTCGCTATGTACGTGTTAATACAAATTTGGTCAGCTTGGCTGAAGTCTTTGAAATGTTGGCGAATGAGCAATGGCGTCGAAAAGAAAAGTCCGACTTTGAATCTTATAATGATTTCTTAGCCGCTATCGCTTCACTTGGGGAGGATGAATACATAGAGGATATACATTTAGACGACCTTTTGATATTCCACTCTAAACAGAAGCATTACTGGGCGTGCCATCAGTTTGTCAAAGATAAAAAATTAATGCTTCAGGATAAAGTAAGCCATCAAAGAGTCGTTGCTTTTTATAAATTTCTAGATAAAACATTTGACTTTCAGGGTACTTGCCTGGTAGCGGAGCTCCTGCGCCCACCACCCGGTTCCATTGTACTTGACTTGTGTGCAGCACCGGGAATGAAAACAATACATGTTAGTAATGTTATGAAAAACAAAGGGACTATTTACGCTATTGAGCAGAGCTCAGATCGCTACCGACTACTATGTAACATGACTCAATCTGCCGGCTGTGAAATAGTCAACTGCATTCATGCGGACGCATTAGCTATTGGTAAAGTTAAATATATTTATGTACTTAGGTGTCTGGTAAATATTAAGATTTTAAACTCCAGATAGCACCCAATGCCCAGGCGTTGAGTACATACTCGTGGATCCATCATGCTCCGGTTCTGGTATGCAAAACCGGATGTCGTTAGATCCAGATGAAAAAGATCCTAGACGCTTGAAACAGCTAGCTGGTTTACAAATCAAAATGCTATCGCATGCCTTAAGTGCATTTCCAAATGTGAAACGCATTGCATACTCTACATGTTCTCTATTTGAAGAAGAGAATGAACAAGTTAAGTGGAATTGAACACAGCTTTTGAACACTAATATTTACGATTTTTACTTAGGTGGTTCAGCGTTGCCTTCAATTAAATCCACAATTCAAGTTGCTAAGTGGTAAGAAAGCCTTGCGCAATAAATGGAATCATGTCGGTAATGCTTCCTATAAGAAGATTGGTAAAAATTGTCTTTACACCAGGCCAGACCAGGACCACGCTGACGGAATATTCATAGCAATATTTGAAAAACAACGCATAGACGATGATACAGAGTAATATCTTCAAATGAATTCATGCAATTAAAATATTATTTTTCTAAAATGTGAATGGAAATGTATACATATGTATATATGAATGTATGTAAGGGGGGATCCATCTAGACCTTTGTTGTTTTAATTTTAAATAAAACACTTAAAACTGGATGTCAGAATCTTTATTTTTACCCAAAAGAACAATCTCTGACATTAATATTAAGTTAGAAGACAAAAAATCGACTGTATTTTGAAGCCACTTGAATCTCACCATATTTTACTCAAATTTAATTCGAAATTTCGATGACAATTATTGAATATTTCTAACTTTAGTACCAAGTTCGAAATGTGGGTTTATATGGTTTTCGTTATATAATAATCTAAACTTTTATAAAAGAATATCATACTAAATAAACAAAACTGGCCAAAATGTCGTTGGCTTAGTGTCCGGACCTGTTTTTTTCGTGGCGCCCTGAATACAGTCAAACTTCCATATATTTCGAAACCCTGCATCTGTGGACCGATTTAGATTATATTGATAATATATAAGCGACAAATTATCGAAAACAATTTTCTTTTTCAAATAGGTTACAAATACTAGTTACAACTTCCTACAAAATCAGTCTTTTGGCCCTATTCATAAAAAATAAAGTAGGTTTAAAGAGCTTTATAAATTGACGTTTTCATACATTTTTCAATTTATAAACGTTTTATAAGGCTACTTAATTTTTATGAATAAGGCCATTTGAATATATACCGTTACGAAAAAGAGCAAAATGAATTTTATCGTTGCTTTGTTTTACAATTTCTCGTTCCTACAATTTTATCGTAAGCGACACTGTATGTACACAACTTTATTGTAAATAGCAGTTTGAACCATGATACAAAGCAATATAATAGGATAATTTAATCTCAACCGCGCAAACATATTCCCCAGCAAACATTAGGGAGACATAAATGAGTATTTAAGGAGTCCTATTTCGGAGCCATTACGATCATAATGAGCTCATTTAAGAGTCCGATATGAGGGTATTTCCCTTCCTCCGAAGGTCGACTTATTTATATATTTAAACGCCAATCGGCTTTATACATAATTAAATAATTGACTAAACAAGTAATAACAAACGTGTGTGGTTGTGGTCGCTTTAACAGAAAAAATCAAAACGATATGAAATGATATTGCAATGTAACATATAACATATAATTCAGTGAATTGACTTTAATTTATATTTTAAGCTAGAGCGAGACCCTCAAAAGAAATTTACATTCGGTGCATGTTGGTTGACAAGGTTCGCTATCCTGTTGTATGGACCAAAGGCGACGTAGTTCCTATTTGCCTGCACGACATCTAGTAGCCTTCTAGTTCGGAGATCAGCTCTAGAGGGTAATAAATCTGAACTGCTCCAGTATTTCTGGTGAGTCAGTCAGCGCATTGACGACTTTGTAAAAGAACGATAGATCCGTCATTTGCCTTCTGCTACATACAGTTTTAATGCTGTTCCTGAGATATACATCATTGACGTCCATTATGCTTTCGACGCGCGAGTGATACAGCAAAAACTTGCAGAACTTTCGTTGAAACTTTTCAACGTTGTTGGCTTGTTTTTTCGGTTTATTGGGCCCAGGCAATGGAACCATATTCTAGTATTGGTTGGACGAAGGTCGAGAAGAGTCTGACGAGGGTTTTTACATCATCGAATTCCTTGCCAAATGATATGTGGTTGATGTGATCAGAAAAAGACAGTTTATCGTCAATCATCACCCCCAAGTCCATTATGGTACTGACTATCTGTACACGTTGGCCGCACAGATAATAGTTGGCGAGCATTCGATTATGACGTCGGGAGAGTCCCATTACCGCACACTTTTTTATATTCAGTTGCAGTTTATTCATCGCACTCCACTCTTCTAGTTCCGAGATATCCTCCTGAAGAGCCTCCATGCCGTGATTGTTACCTATTGCTCTGAATAGTTTCATATCATCGGCATATAACAAGTACTCGGATTTAAGTTTAACACCTATGTCATTTATAAATATGCTGAACAGAACTGGTCCCAGATGAGATCCTTGTGGTACACAATTGCCATTATGCAATTACAGCTGCAATCACTAAGTGCAGCGTGGTTCGTGTAGTGGTGTCTTTTTGGAAACTCTTGCTTTGCCAACGGGTTATAAGATTTAAAAACAAATCAGAAAGATGAAAAACCGATACCTAGCGTTGCTTATATTTCTATTGTATGCTCTAGTATAGAAAAAATTGCTACTGAATTCGAAATTGCCATCTTAACTCCATCCATATGGATTCACACTTTTGAAATTATTTCATTTTACCGTTTATCTTTCGAATTGTTTATAAGATTTTGGTTTGTCACTTTTACTTATTTATAACCACAATGTTCATAACTTTTGCACTTCAGCCTTCTTTTTATAAAATGGCAGTCTTTGATTTTAATCTCTAGATTAAAGGTTTTTGTTCAGCAATTTTTTCCCCAATAACTAGGTTTAAAACACTCCACGAGTCGAGAAATATAACTGATTTCGAAATTCGCCAAAGCATTCATAATATAAAGATTTTGACACTGGTCAAGGATTAAAAATTAAATTTTTTCTTTCTTTAAAAAACGTCAAAAACACTAAATAGTGGCGGCCGCTGTGGTGTTGTGGTAAGCAGTGCGCGCTTCCACTCCGCAGGGCCTGGGTTCAAGCAACATCCATCGCAAAAAAATGTAGAAAAAGGTTTTTTCTTAACAACGGTCGCCCCTCGGCAGGCAATGGCAAACCTCCGAGTGTAATTCTGCCATGAAAAATAAAAATATCTTAAGTGCCATCTTACCTTTAGAAAGCTCGTATTCAATAACGTTTTTGTCCATTTAAAACAAAATAAATTTTTACACTGCTTAAGGGAGAGTTAAAAAAAACTCGCCTTTATTGTCGCTTACGATAAAATCGGTCGATATATTACTTACATAAAAAGTAATATCTAACTCCAAAAAAAAAATATGCCGGTGGGTGGCGCAGGAGTCGGGCTATTTGGAAAACCCGTATATATGGTCCGATTGGTTGTGGCTATTTTTCCATTGTTTGTTTAATGTTTACCATATAAGTCCAAATTTTTTTACAACAAAGTTTTTATTAGGATTTTCTAGAAAAGCTTTAGTATGCCCATTAAATTATAGCTTAAGGAAGTGCAAGTCTTAAGTAGCTAAGAATTCGCGTTGAAATTAAATAATTTTGATAATTTTTTTTTGGGTGTTATTATTTTCTTCCATAAAAAAAATTGTATAATGGGCTATAAAATTGCATACCTTTTCTAGAAAATCCTAATGAAAAGTTTGTTGTTGTTGTAAAATTTTTCTAGTAAGTTTGAAATTTGGGACTTATCTGGTTTTTGTCAGATAATGAGCTGTATTTTTATTTAAAAAATAAACATTAAACAAAGAGCTTTTGGACGCAGGCGGAATGGTTGGGCGCACTGCTAACCACTACACCACAGTGGCCGCCAATATAATAATAACATACATCTTTTTGCCTTTTTAAACAACGTAAGCTAGTCTGACAAATACAAAACAGTAAAGGAATATTTTATGATTGGACCACACCTTCAACAAACGTGGAATATATACGGCCTCATCGCGAATTCCATGTGAACAAACATTCCCAAAAACGATTTGTTCACATGAAGTTGACGATACGGCTGATAAATAGTATTTACATACACATGCATGTGTACATAGTAGATATTAGGATTACAGTTATACCAACTGCGATTTTAGACAACAAACCGTAACCTTACCAAATTAGTGAAATTATAGAACCAATATTTAAAGCTTATTTTTTAAATTAGTTAACTACGGTATGAAATGATTCAACACAAAATCAAGGATTCTTATTTATTTTTAAATGTTTATTTGATTATTTTGTTTTTGTAACTCTTCAATATTTAAAAGTTCACCATAAGTATATTTCACATATGCTGGTATGTAAAATAAAAATTGTACTTAAAGCTACAACGTAATCCAACATC